ACTGCTGTTCCTGAAACCACGCCTTCTTTCTTTGCGTGCACATTTGGGTGGCATTATGCTAATATTTCCACATATTGACGTAGACATGTGGGGGCGTGTTTAAACGAGGCGTTTTAGGAGGGCGTGGACAAGTCTTAACTTTTATAAAGAATATCTCTGTGGATTTGAGACATTAGTCTTTGCAACTTTACAGATCTTCTTTATGCATCAAGAGCTTGTAACACTCCAAAGAGAAAGGAAAAATTGAAATCGCATCATATGACCCCTTTAAGAGCGTCCGACGCAATATTGAAGAAAGTGGTGCGACAACGGCGGTGTCCTGACATTTTCCCTGTAGGTACCAACATGCCCGCGTCGCTTCAATGATCTCGCCACTGACTTGACGTGAGGTAAAAAGCAGTTTTTTTTTTTACTTTGGCAATTTTGCTAACGTGACCACTAGCTTAAATTGTCATATATCGAACTAGAAAACACTCCTTGGTCTGCAGTGTAGAAGAACCGTCTTACACAGGTACAGCTTTTCAACTGACATGTAAAATTATTAATTACAGTTCGTATTGTTTATGAGTGGTATCTGAAATATATTCCTTGCTAACATGAAAAAAAAAAATACATCATGGAACAGTACTCTTAATATCTTTCAAAGAACTGATTACACTGACAAAAGCGCTAACTGTATTAACTCTATACTTTGTAAACACGGACTGATGAAATTATGTTTCTCATGTAATCTGAATAAAACCATACAGTCAGCTTTTTAACTTAAATGGAGAAAGTGCTTTTCAGTTTTGTCTGTATTTGCATCAGATGGTCTGTGGGCTAAAATAAGTCTTTCCATACAGATACCAGTTGTCTTTTCACAGATTTCACATTTTTAGAAATATTTAATTATGTCATTGTAATGACTTACAAAGATTTACTTAACAATAATACAGTAATAATAGTTTTCATATGTCATGTAGTCTATGTTTGAATTTTCATCAGTCATTAACAAACTGTCATAATTGAATAAAAATCAGTGGTGTATACAGCGTTATTTTGGACATTGTTGATTTTTTTATTCTGTGGGCAAAAACAGTTGAAACATTCTTCAGAATCATAATTTTTTAGTTCTGCATAAGAAATAAAGTAATATAGGCTTGAAATGATATGAGGGTGTGTAAATGAGGACAGACATTTTAATTTTTGAATGGTCTCATTTTTTTAATGAATTTGTGTAGGCCAAAAAACTTTATTAATTTAGTATACTTATTTCATAATATAGTATGTAGAAAACAATATCAATGTCAAATAAATGGTACACACTAAACCATTTCAGTGTATTATGTATCATTTAAAACTAGAATGTTTGCTTTAAATTTTTTCCCAAAAACATTTTCTTTAAAACCAGAGGATAGACATAACCACTGCATTCAAAAAAACACTGAGCAAATGCACACACATTACATGCCACTGGAAGTGACTGTCTAATGAATCCAGACCTCCTGTTAAGAAGTGCATGACACCATGTCAGTATCCAGACAGCACTGTGACAGAAGGGTAGCGTGTGCGGTGCGTCATACACTTCTCTCGGTCGATGAGGAGAGAGTTTGTTTTGCAAGAGATGTCTTTCTCCAGGGACAGTCTGCTTTCTTCCAGGTCCGACAAAGATTTGCGTGCTTCATACAGCTGCTGCTGTAGGGCTGATACTGTACTGTTGAGCTCTGACACCTCACCTAACAAACTACACAAACACACACACATCAGATGGGTTTATGTGTGTTGGGAGACTGAGTGTGTGTATGTATGCGTGTTTATGTACCTGAGCTGGGGCTGGTCTCGGCACAGCTCCATGTTGGGTCTGAAGGTTCGGTAATGCAGTCTAGATTGAGCCACTCTGAGAGGAGCTTCTTTATCATACACAGCTTGCTGCAGGTATGAGATATTCCTCTCCTGAGCCCCAATCTGCTCTAGAATCTATTACACAGCCATATTAAAGGAAAGGTCACCTAAAAATTTAAATTTGCTGAAAATTTACTCACCCTCAGGCCATCCAAAATATAGATGTGTTTGTTTTACATAAGAACAAATTTGGAAAAATGTAGCATTCATCACTTGCTCACCAGTGGATCCTCTGCAGTGAATGGGTGCCGTCAGAATGAGAGTCCAAACAGCTGATAAAAACATCACAATAATCCACAAGTAATCCACACCACTCCAGTCCATCAGTTAATGTCTTGTGAAGTGAAAAGCTGCATGTTTGTAAGAAACAAATCCATCATACCTATATTTTACGGCTAACGTATTAGTCCTATATCAATAATATTGCTTTTTCCAGTTTAAAAAAATTGCCTTGTTTGAATCAGGAGAGAATTATGCACAGATCAAGCCCCATTTACAAGCAAAAACAGTCCAAAACAGTTCTAAGCAAATACGTTCATGCTAGGAGCAATGGTTTACAGTTAAAACTTGGAGTGGTGTGGATTATAGTGATGTTTTTATCAGCTGTTTGGACTCTCATTCTGATGGCACCCATTCACTGCAGAGGATCCATTGGTTAGCAAGCGATGGAATGCTACATTCCTCCAAATCTTTAAATTTTTAGCAAATGTTAATTTTTGTATGAACTGTTCCTTTAAAGCAGTGGTTCTCAACTCCAGTCCTCGGGACCCACTGCTCTGCACATTTTGTGTGTCTACCTTATTTAACGCACCTGATTCAGTTCATCAGCTAGTTAAGAGAGAGATCCATGAACTGAACTGAGTGTGTCTGAAATGTGCAGAGCAGTGGGTCCTGAGGACTGGAGTTGAGAACCACTGCTTTAAACATTCTTAGCATTCAAAATTTTAACCTCTCGATTTGTTTACTTGTATGAAATCTGCAGATTATATAGACTCTATCATATGTGATACCTTGTGTACATGTATTGGTTTTTGTTTTGTAAAAATGTGTATTGCCTGTGCCAGGTGCAGCTCCAGCTGTGTTTTGGCTTGGCTCAGTTCCATGCAGCGCTGGTTGAAGGCCTGATCTGCAGCGGCACACTGCGCCCGTAGGTCCTCAGAAGTCTCCTGCAGGACCCGCTCAATCAGCCGCCTCAAGGCCTGGCTCGCCACCTCCTCTCTCTCCGCCAGCCGCAGGTTATCCAGAGTAAACTTACGCCAAACCTCCTCATTGCACACCCTACAGAGAAACACTAATAATTTGAAAATGATCTTTTAATAGTTCTCCCAAAAATTTAAATTTGCTGAAAATTTACTCACCCTCAGGCCATCCAAAATATAGATGTGTTTGTTTTACATAAGAACAAATTTGGAAAAATGTAGCATTCATCACTTGCTCACCAGTGGATCCTCTGCAGTGAATGGGTGCCGTCAGAATGAGAGTCCAAACAGCTGATAAAAACATCACAATAATCCACAAGTAATCCACACCACTCCAGTCCATCAGTTAATGTCTTGTGAAGTGAAAAGCTGCATGTTTGTAAGAAACAAATCCATCATACCTATATTTTACGGCTAACGTATTAGTCCTATATCAATAATATTGCTTTTTCCAGTTTAAAAAAATTGCCTTGTTTGAATCAGGAGAGAATTATGCACAGATCAAGCCCCATTTACAAGCAAAAACAGTCCAAAACAGTTCTAAGCAAATACGTTCATGCTAGGAGCAATGGTTTACAGTTAAAACTTGGAGTGGTGTGGATTATAGTGATGTTTTTATCAGCTGTTTGGACTCTCATTCTGATGGCACCCATTCACTGCAGAGGATCCATTGGTTAGCAAGCGATGGAATGCTACATTCCTCCAAATCTTTAAATTTTTAGCAAATGTTAATTTTTGTATGAACTGTTCCTTTAAAGCAGTGGTTCTCAACTCCAGTCCTCGGGACCCACTGCTCTGCACATTTTGTGTGTCTACCTTATTTAACGCACCTGATTCAGTTCATCAGCTAGTTAAGAGAGAGATCCATGAACTGAACTGAGTGTGTCTGAAATGTGCAGAGCAGTGGGTCCTGAGGACTGGAGTTGAGAACCACTGCTTTAAACATTCTTAGCATTCAAAATTTTAACCTCTCGATTTGTTTACTTGTATGAAATCTGCAGATTATATAGACTCTATCATATGTGATACCTTGTGTACATGTATTGGTTTTTGTTTTGTAAAAATGTGTATTGCCTGTGCCAGGTGCAGCTCCAGCTGTGTTTTGGCTTGGCTCAGTTCCATGCAGCGCTGGTTGAAGGCCTGATCTGCAGCGGCACACTGCGCCCGTAGGTCCTCAGAAGTCTCCTGCAGGACCCGCTCAATCAGCCGCCTCAAGGCCTGGCTCGCCACCTCCTCTCTCTCCGCCAGCCGCAGGTTATCCAGAGTAAACTTACGCCAAACCTCCTCATTGCACACCCTACAGAGAAACACATCTGAGATGCTGTCACCACAACAGCTGGGATCTAAAAGTGCTTTAATGTTTAAGTTGTGTCACTCCAGCTGAGCTGAGGTAAGGTTTGGCACGCACTGGTCCTGCAGCACGGCTGAGCTGGGATGCCGTTGTGTGTCGGTGCTCCTGTTGTTAAAGCGTCCACACTGATCATCTAGACTGTAGGCATGCTGTTTATCAGACCAGTCTAACTCAAGAGTCTGCTTCACCTCCCGGTTCAGCCTGGCAGACACAGACAGGTTTATGACTTTAATCTGCAATCCAATCAAAATCCATTACAATTGTGTGCTGAACACTCAAAGTAATAAATGTTGACCAAATGTTATTTTTCTGGTGTACTATTGCCTTAAGGAATGCTTCATGAGATATAAACGTGAATTATTGCACTGATATAATATAGAATTTGAACAGAATTAAAGAGAGATCCATATTTTGGACAACTGGCCTTATCTGGTTGACAGTTTGATCCAGAGTTTTTTTCAGCAAGGCCTGAATGCTTCTGATCAGCTCCACTTCCTGTTGGAAATCATTTAAAAAATTGTTTCAGGATCTGTTGTTGACACATTGAACTTTTTTTGTGTTTAATGGCATCTTTCTTGCTTATTCACTATGACAGCTACTAGTAATAATAATGGCGATTTGTTTACTTGTATGAAATCTGCAGATTATATAGACTCTATCATATGTGATACCTTGTGTACATGTATTGGTTTTTGTTTTGTAAAAATGTGTATTGCCTGTGCCAGGTGCAGCTCCAGCTGTGTTTTGGCTTGGCTCAGTTCCATGCAGCGCTGGTTGAAGGCCTGATCTGCAGCGGCACACTGCGCCCGTAGGTCCTCAGAAGTCTCCTGCAGGACCCGCTCAATCAGCCGCCTCAAGGCCTGGCTCGCCACCTCCTCTCTCTCCGCCAGCCGCAGGTTATCCAGAGTAAACTTACGCCAAACCTCCTCATTGCACACCCTACAGAGAAACACATCTGAGATGCTGTCACCACAACAGCTGGGATCTAAAAGTGCTTTAATGTTTAAGTTGTGTCACTCCAGCTGAGCTGAGGTAAGGTTTGGCACGCACTGGTCCTGCAGCACGGCTGAGCTGGGATGCCGTTGTGTGTCGGTGCTCCTGTTGTTAAAGCGTCCACACTGGTCATCTAGACTGTAGGCATGCTGTTTATCAGACCAGTCTAACTCAAGAGTCTGCTTCACCTCCCGGTTCAGCCTGGCAGACACAGACAGGTTTATGACTTTAATCTGCAATCCAATCAAAATCCATTACAATTGTGTGCTGAACACTCAAAGTAATAAATGTTGACCAAATGTTATTTTTCTGGTGTACTATTGCCTTAAGGAATGCTTCATGAGATATAAACGTGAATTATTGCACTGATATAATATAGAATTTGAACAGAATTAAAGAGAGATCCATATTTTGGACAACTGGCCTTATCTGGTTGACAGTTTGATCCAGAGTTTTTTTCAGCAAGGCCTGAATGCTTCTGATCAGCTCCACTTCCTGTTGGAAATCATTAAAAAAATTGTTTCAGGATCTGTTGTTGACACATTGAACTTTTTTTGTGTTTAATGGCATCTTTCTTGCTTATTCACTATGACAGCTACTAGTAATAATAATGGCAATATATTATTTTAAATCTTTTATTAATGAAGAAGGCTTCTACAACTACTAATAATTGTATTGTTATAGGCCTATGTATTATTATTATTCTCTATTAATGAGTAAAGAATACAAAATTTGCGTTTGTGTGTGTGTATATATATATATACAGTACACACACATATATTCTATGTAAACAAAAAATTATTATGGATGCGATTAATTGTGTGTGTGTGTGTGTGTGTGTATATATAATGAAATGTATTCTATGTCAACAAAAACTTTTATGGATGCGATTAATCGCGATTATCATTTAGTGTGTGTGTGTGTGTGTGTGTGTATACATATATATAATGTATATATATATATAATGTAATGTATTCTATGTAAACAAAAACTTTTATTATGGATGTGATTAATCGCGATTATCATTTATTGTGTGTGTGTGTGTGTGTGTGTGTGTGTTTATTTATTTATTTATTATTTGGGAAAAATAACACTTTCACTTCTTGTTGTCCGTACCTTAAGAAGTTCCTCTTCCACCTGGTCCTCCACCAGATCCGGTCCGAAGCGTCTCTCTCGGCAGCTGAGGTTATCAGTGGCGATGGCGAAGGGAATCTCCGTGGCGTCCAGCGCTTTTTCCAGCCGCCGCCTGGAGGCCGTCAGCAGGTCTGTTTCCGCGATCAGCCGCTCGATGAGCTGCTCCAGCTCGGATCTCCAGCGGTGGATGTCCTGCAGCCGGTTGCCCAGGTGTTTGGTGCCCGCGGTCTGTGTGCGTAAAGTCCCGGCGTCGGTCTCCGCTTTCAGCGCTTTGGACTCGGTGCAAATCCTCTCCGCGTGATCCCGGTCCGCGACGGACCGGTTTAACAGAGCAGAGTTATTGGCGAGCCACTCCTCGGGGGTGTATTTGGCGCTCCGGTAGCCCGCCGTGGCCAGACCGGCGGATGTACCAGCGTACACGTTTTCTTTAACGGCGGTCTCCGGGTTTGTGACCAGCGGCTGTGAGCCATTCTGCGCCGCTACCCGCGTGTCAAAATAGGGGCGAGACACTAAAATTTGGGATGGCATCATCTTTTGGTGTAAATTAAAGTATTTAACAGCCTGTAGTGGTTGAAGTCGCCGAATGTTTGTATTCCGTTGCTTGGATACCGACGGTTGCTAAGCACGCGTTACGCACGCGAGAGTTCCAAGTGTCACGTTTCAACATTCTTTCTTTATTATTTTGACTCGAAACTAGTTATTCAGATACAGACCTTGGGTTTGGGGTTTAACCAAAGTTATAACTAGGCTATCAGAGCACCAAAAAAAAATTGGCTAAACAAAAATAAATAAATGTTGTAATTCCCCTCCCTTAAGAAAAATAACTATGGTTTTACTACAAATAAAACAACAACAAAAACACACGGTTACTAGTTAAACCATGGTAACCACAAATTAACCATGGTTTTGCAAGACTAACCATAGTTTAACCATGGTATTTGTAGTAAAACTGTGGTTATACAAATGGTAATCAATACGCCAAAACACCATTACTACACTTTTACTACAATAAAACCATGGTTAATTTTCGTAAGGGCCGTCTCCCCCTAAAACAGTATCAGAGAAGGAAAAGGCAAAACTCCAGATTTGATTAATGCAAGGTGATGGACGTTTTATATCCTGTTCATGCCAGTTCTTAATGTGCAGTGCTGCGTTTCCCAAAAGCATCGTAAGCACATCGAAGAAACCAATGGAGCTACGATCAATTTAGGCTTATGATGCTTTTGGGAAACACAGCCCTGGATGAGGAAGATAAGAGATGCTTCAGTGCATGGAAAATCAAGGCTCTAAAGTCTAAACATTAGATCTTTTAGCAACATAAAGGTTTATGTCACCAAATTCTCAGAAAAAACAACGAATTTTCAGCATTGCATGCTGGACAGTGAAGTTGTTTACCCAGGATATGCTGCATGGCCTCTCTGTGTTGTTCTACAGTTAGGTGCTTCCTCTTTCTAGCAAGATTTTAATTGACATCATGTTGCTTCACTGAGGTTAATGACTGACTAATTCCAGGAAACGCCGGACTCAAATTGAGGTGATATGAATCAATGTAGAATCGAACAGCACTCATCTGTTTCACTGGATTAATGGAAACTTCCTCCCATGGTGCACTATCACATTAAAGTTTTACTAGCAATGAGTACAACTGACAGAGCAAAATATAATGATGCATTTACAGTGTGTGCACATGACCCATAAGAAATGGAAGAGAGGAACTCGACTGTAGTAAGGTCACAATCTGGTCACAGATTACAAATAAGCAGTGTATGAACACACTACAAATATAATCAGAAACGGATCAAACCATTAAAATCAAATCAGAGCATGATAAAGTGGTTTATAATCTGCAGACAAAAAAATAACGTAACGAAAAACAGGAGACATTTAATTTTTTCATTTCCAACAACCAAACGTAATATTTTGCATGCATTCTTGTCACTGCATGACTTTGCCCTATTACATAAAATGTAACATTGCTTAAACCATGACACCCAGGAAGTGACATCATTTGGACCTTTTTACAGCATGGCATGAAGACAAGTAAAATAAATTTAATTAAAATTATGAATGTAATTGTGTCGACTGCATTCATCAAACTCAACTATTCAACCCTGTGAAGTTACTATAAGAAGAAAATAATACAAATGTTCAGAATCTTCACAAGTTTATCAATAGCGAAAAAACCAACAACTGGTTCCCATCTGGTTAGAACCCTCCTGAGTGATAATTTAGGATTTAGGGCCGATTATGTAACCTGTTGGTGGACGGTGCCATCTAAATCACATCTGTCTGCTGATCAGCCATAATTTCCAATAACATTAACAGCAAGTGTATAAACAAGTGGAAAAATAACTTAGTTAAACTGATAATGATGCTTTCTCTGTGTTGCAAAATAGGCAGGTTAGTCATGTGTTTTAAGATGACCCTGTCTACACAGTAAGTGTCACCGTTATCTCGCCTGTAATTTTATGCCCACATTTATGACTGTAGCCTGCTGTCCTCGCCGACTGACACTATTATAATCGTGATCCACGCCCTCTCGCTCTCACTCACAGCCATCCAGATTCACATTCAGTACATTCAGAGGAGAAGCAACACAAACGCATACAGGCACTCACAGGTACGTGTTGTGCACACATTTTTTTATTAAATTAAAGGTTATGCTTTTGTTATATGTCAAGTACATAAAGGGATATGTTATTGAGCTTTGCATTGATAAGTCAAGGCTATCATGATAATATACAGTGTGTACTGTTTGTGGCATGCACTGTAGCGATAGGAAAATTACTAGAACAAGATTAGGAAAGAGAGAATATGACATGACGAATATAAAGAAAATCTATTTTCCGACTCCTCATCTTCATGTGTTCGCATTTACAGGTTTTGATAATGGAGAAAGACTACAGACCCCCTCCTTATTCTGGTCCTCAGATGGATCAGACAGGCATACCCTGGACAGCAGGCAGTGTACCCACCTCAAGCAGGTCAGCTGATCTTCCACTTCAACCTCACTAATAAGAAGGAACAGGATGATTACACACCAGTGTAATAGAAGTTAGTGAAAACTTTAGAATGGCGACCCCAAAATGTGAGCCAATATTCAATGGCCTTTGCTGTAGAAACTTTAAATTAAATTAAAGGTTATGCTTTTGTTATATGTCAAGTACATAAAGGGATATGTTATTGAGCTTTGCATTGATAAGTCAAGGCTATCATGATAATATACAGTGTGTACTGTTTGTGGCATGCACTGTAGCGATAGGAACATTACTAGAACAAGATTAGGAAAGAGAGAATATGACATGACGAATATAAAGAAAATCTATTTTCCGACTCCTCATCTTCATGTATTCACATTTACAGGTTTTGATAATGGAGAAAGACTACAGACCCCCTCCTTATTCTGGTCCTCAGATGGATCAGACAGGCATACCCTGGACAGCAGGCAGTGTACCCACCTCAAGCAGGTCAGCTGATCTTCCACTTCAACCTCACTAATAAGAAGGAACAGGATGATTACACACCAGTGTAATAGAAGTTAGTGAAAACTTTAGAATGGCGACCCCAAAATGTGAGCCAATATTCAATGGCCTTTGCTGTAGAAACTGCATATTTATTATCAGTTTTATGGAAGGGGTTATAAGAAAGTAAAATGTGTGATGTTTCAATCCGTGACCCTGTAAAACAAACACAGACTTTGGCTGGTGTGATCTCAGATTATGCTTTATGACTGGGAGAATCGTGTATGAAACTGTTGCAATATTTTGACTTCTATTAAACTTATTAGTTCATCCAAAAATGAAAAATTGTTCAACAGTGTACTCATCCGCGGGCCATCCAAGATGTAGATGAGTTTTTTGTTCATCTGAACAAATTTTGCATTACATCACTTGCCCACCATCGGATCCTCTGCAGTAAATGGGTGCCGTCAGAGTCCAAAAACATCACAATAGTCCACAAGTAAATCAAACGTCTCCAGTCCATCAATTAACAATTATTGGATGAATACTATTGGAGAGGGTGGATAAGAACATGACATACAATAGAGGAAATCTACGACCATGAGTACCAAATCAGCATATTAGAATGTTTTCTGAACACAAATTCTGACCTTAATAATTTCCAACATCAAACCGGCAGTGTACACCTCCACTGCAGTGGGTTTCAGTGTTTTCAACCAGCGCTTTGACTCTTTTACAGATCCACAAGCTGCACCTTATCAACCACCTTCATATGGGTTTGGGGATCCAACCATCACTGTCCAGCCCACGATCGTCCCTGTAGGTGAGTGTTCAGCACCCAAGACCCATCATTTCTCATGCTTTTATTCATGCAATGAGACTCTGGGAATCACTGTGGTTAAACACTATATTAACATAACCAGGATAAACCGTATCAATTGCTAATTAATTTAAAAGAGATATGAATTAATCAGAGATGTATTTAATATCTACTTATAATTACTAACATGTCTCGAAAGGCACAGCCCTGTAAACCATATCCACCTGACTACCAGAAAAAAAAAACGTTTTGTGAATTTAATATTTGTTAATGTCATTACCTTGTTTAGAGCAATGGTTCCCAACCCTGGTCCTGGAGGCACCCCAACACTGCATGTTTTCCATGTCTCCTTAATCAAACACACCTGATTCAGATCATCAGCTCATTAGTAGAGACTCCAAGACCTGAAATTGGTGTTTGATTAAGGAGACATGCAAAACGTGCAGTGTTGGGGTGCCTCCAGGACCAGGGTTGGGAACCACTGGTTTAGAGCATAGTTTATATTAGAGAGTGGACAACATTTAGTATTTTTTTAAACTACGCTTAAAGTATGGCTTAAGGAAAACCAAATATGTGATCATTGACCTGATTTTTTTATGTTATGGAGTATAATGTGATATTGTATGTGTTATGTATTGTATTGTTACGTGACTGAATATTGTAATTTCGTAACAACATCCTGCCTAGGGACTGCAGATGCAATTTAGCTTGTGTTGTGCACTGTTCCTGTTAAATAAATGAAATAAACTAAACTAAAAGGCAAAAACAGTGAATTTTTTTTCATCACCAATCAATTTGTATTTATTTTTTATACCAAATTTTGTATAAAAATTATTCTCAACTATGTTATAAAAGATATAACAGAATGATTTTATATACCATTTTGCTTTATGCAATATGTGTGTAAAATGGCCATAAACGGGTTTTCCTATTGTACACAATTTATCTATAGACTGTATGTAATTTGCATATTAATGTGTTTTTGGGGCGACATGTAATGAAAAAAGAAGTGCACTATTGGAAGTAATAATTACTTTCATAATAATATCTCATATTTTATAGGAATATTGATCAAATTTCTTTCCCTATTCACTTGTTGTGTCTCCCAAAATGCATAACAAACATGCTTTAAGTCCTGGTCTCCTCTACAGTGGGCATGTATAACATCGATGTCTAGGGCTGGGCGATATGACCAAAATCTATTGTATTGTATACACCCATCTTTTTAGTGTGTTTATGTCAAGCATTTAAGAGAATAACGGCTGACAGTCTGAGACTGAGCAAAAAAGGTGACAGTTATAAGCATGGTTGGAATTGAGATGGGACACTTGAGGAGGTGCTTGGACTAGAAATTCAGGAGTTTTGTAAACATGTTGTTCCTGACCATTCAATCTGGAACTCAGTTGCTTTAACTGTAACGTCTGAATCTGCATTAGCATCGGCCCTCATGACTGTACTTTCAGCTCCACCCCTTATCTTTACAATATTCTGACAGACTCTTTATAATATCTCAGTGTCTTTATAGGCAAGAGCATACTGTAAAAGAGTTCACAGCTTTCCGCCGACTGCAGAAACACACAGGTATGTGTCATATTATATTGAGTTTGGGGGTTTTGGATTGATTTTGGATTATCTGTTTCCACAGACAAACACATACATTTCAGATTTATGCATTTGAATTGCATATCATTTATATACTGTATGTAAATGTTCACAGTTTTAACATAACTGATAACCTAATGTGATGCATATTTGTCAGTCATAAATAAAACAGGTAAAATTTTAGCAGTTGTACTAATAAACAGAAAAGGTTTTAAACACAGTAATAAGGTTGATATGATTATTATCAATAAATAATTTTAAATAATTGAATATTGCTTGTTCCACAGCTAGCTTTTTGTTTTGTTTTGTTTTGTTAATTTTTTTTAAGTGCACTGTGATGTTTGGAGACAAATAATTGTTATTGTAAAACCTGAGATAAAAATAATAGCAATATTATGAAAGATGAACTTATTAACAAATTATATGGGTGATATCAGGTAATTCTCAAAGTCAGGGTCAAAAGTGGCCTTATTTACCTGCGTTACCCTTCCTTTTATTTATTTTATTTGTATTCATCTGACCAGTAGTTTATGCTACAGTGTTTAATGTCAGTAATTGTCAGCAGCTACTATTGAAGCACTCACTCTTAGAATGTTTGATTTGAAATGTTAGACACAGATTCTCTCATTTTTTCGAATCCACGCATTCCGCTGACTTATCTGTTACTCAAAACTCCTGGCAGATAAAATGTTGGCAAACTGGCTGATCGGGGCTCTGCTTTCAGACGATCAGGTCTCATGATAACACAGTTGATAACACAGTTGATAATTTAGTCACACTCAAAAGAAAATTGCCTCGCCAGTGTTGAATGTGGAACTGTCACACTATTAAAGCACCTCTGTTTTTCTCAGTTACAGGCTGCTGATAATGGACAGAGGACAATTTCCCCCTCCATATGCACCACAGGTGGTCCAAACCAAGCCTTTCAAACCCACCCAGGTCAGTAGACCCTCTGGTTCTCAATTCAGAGATTATCAGTCACTGGTAACATTTTTTCATCAGTGATCATGGTCTACCGTACACAGCCACCACTGACAGTCATGGCATCCAGCATAACCTAAGCATCTACATCTCGCATAGATCAGAGCAGATGAGACCTTAGTTCAGAAGGAATGTTTCCGCATACCACAATGTTACTGTAAAACGCTGCATTTCTAGAAAAGGTGTGACATTTTTCACTTTTTCTGACTGACTGCGATATTTGCCATCTAAATTTGAGCACATAATATTTTCAATATTTGCCAGTGTTTTGGAAGAACGAGTTCATTTGAGAAATGTATAAAGTGTTTTGGTAGTTTAAGTGCATTTTGAATGTGAAATTAGCTGCTGTGCCAAGATGAAAGTTGGTTAGGGGACTGTGTGAAGAGTTTTGAAGTATTGAGGAAAAACGAGCAATTGTTAAAAAAAACTGGGCTGCATCAGTGTTTTTTGGAAACACTTTTTATGCTTTAGTTATAAGTGTAAATAAATTTGATAAATAAGATAAATGCAACCTTCCTCATGTCATGCCACCATTTGGAGATGATGGTTTTCTGTTTTCCAGCTCCAATGGCCACAGTTTACCCAGCTGCACAGATGCCAGTCATGGCTGCAGCTCAGCCTGCATTTGTGCCTGCCGCTGGTGAGTGTTAATGTGCTACGGGTCTCTGGTTCTGTGGCTTTGCATCACCAGCTTGTTTCTCTTTCAGCTCCAGTGGCACAGCCTGTAATTCAGATGGTCCCGGCTCCTGCGCCGGCCCCGGGTGAGCAGTAAAGCCTTAGATTACTCTGTGTTCAAATACTAGAAGGTTTCAGCAAGCTGTGTGACATGTTAAGAGGTTTAAAATCATATTATTCTTCATTTTCATCAGTATTAACTCTTTTTCTATGTATTTGTAGATGCAGTAATTATTCCACCACGTCTGACTACTGTTGCGGGGCGGATGAAATGTCAATACTGCCAGAAGGAGGTCGTAACAGAGATGAAATATATCAATGGAATGATGGTGTGGGCTCGGCTTTTTAGGGTAAGGAATCGTATTCAGCAGATTTCAAATGTATCAAACTGATATGAGAAAAGAAAACACACTCATTTTTTCAATCCAGGGTCTGGCCGTGTTGTTTGATTCCATTCTGTGTGAAAGCCTGCAAGGATGTAGAGCATAGCTGTCCACACTGCAAAACCGTCATCCATGTGCACAAACCCATGTAGCTTGCTCTGAATCCAAGAAAATCTGG